GGTGGCGGTGGCCGCGGTGGCCGTGGCGGTGGCAGCGCTGGAGGTGGCGGTGGTGTGGCCGCCGCAGTGGTCCTGGCTGCAGCACAGCACTCGGATCCTATAGTTGTAGCATATCTTGAACAGCCCCACCTGCTTGTCGTTCCTGCAGACCAGGCCGAACCGGGGGTCGCAGTGCACGTGCTGGCCCAGCTCCTCAGGGCTCCTGTCGGGGAAGTTCTCCGCCCTGCACTCTATGTCCTGAGGCCACTCACACACAGTCCCCCCTGCGCTCCTGATCTTGTCATAAGACTCGATGTCGCCCCCGGCCTCCTCGGACGTGGGGTAGTCCGCATCGAACCACTCCGTCCACCAACATCGGGGCTGACAGGTGGTGCCTGGGGCCACAGAGCTGCTGGCTCCCCGGGTCTCCGTTGTGGCAGGGCTGGTGGACTGGGTCTGTGAGGTCAAGGCCGTTGTTGCCTGGAGGGTGGGGGTGGGCGTGGGCAGGGACCCGGGCGTTGGCTCCTGGCTGGTGCCCAGGCCCGGGGTTGTGCTGCAGGGCACGAGGTCGCAGCAGAGGACCCGCAGCTCGTAGTTGTGGCAGAGCGGAGGACTCTGCTCGCTGTTGAGGCACGTGAGCCCCTGCTGCTGGCTGCACTCCACCTTCTGGCCCAGCTGCTCCAGGGGCATGTCAGGGAGCTGCCGTGCCCGGCACTCGATGCCGGCCGGGGCCGGGCACACCTGGTGGCCCTTCTGCCTCAGGTTCGCAAACGTCTCGAAGTCCCCGCCTCCCATGCCGGGCTCTGGGTGGTTGCTGTCGTACCAGGTGGACCAGCGGCAGACCTCACGCACGCACACGGCCGAGAGCGTGGGCGCCAAGCCTGTGGGGTAGAGGCGGTGCAGCCGGTCAGCTGCCTCTGCATCCTTGACAGCCGTGCGCCGGGGGTGGGGAGCACGTGTCCCCTTGCGCCAGGGCTGGTCTCCAGGCCTCTGCTAGATTCCAGCCCACCCCTTGCACCCGGGACACCTGCACTGAGTGCCCGCTGGGCCTTCCCCCTTCCCCCAGCCCACCAGGCTTCCCCTGGGTCGCCTCACCTGTCGTGGAGGGCGGGGCTGCAGTGGAGGTAAAGGTGAAGGGTGTCGTGGAGAAGGTTCTAGGACATTCCATGGCCCTCCGGATGATGGTCCCGTTGTTTCCGCAGACAGCGACCAAGCAGGCACCGAGCCCGTCGGTTGTGTTGTAGATGACGTCCCCATAGCTGTAACTCCTGCCCTCATAGGTGCACTTGCAGGCTGGGGACACGGCAGGTCCAGGGTTGAATGGAGCCCCAGCCCCCAGCCCCTAACCAACCCGGCCCCTCCTTACCCGCAAGGCTGTGTGTGCACTGGATGCCACTCGGGGTGCAGTCACTGGGAGGGGGAGAGAGAAGGGCTGAGGGCCTGCAGGGGCCAGGCAGCACCCACCTCACCGGCCCCCGCCCCACCCACGCTGTGTGGCCCCTTACCAGCTCTGGCAGTTCTCCGTGGTGGGGACACTGGCGCCCACATCATAGTGGTTCCCATCCTGGCCGTAGCAGCCGCACTGGGCCACACACTTCATCTGGTCTTCACTGAAGAATGGCTTGCTGGGCGGACACCTGGGGTAGCATCCTGAGACGGCACAGGGCAGGAGGAAGACTCACGCCTCCCGCCACGTGGTCGATGCTGCCTCTACGTCGCGGGGGGTGCTGAGGGCGGGCGGGCGCCCACACACCCCCCCTCCCGGCACCCAACCCACCCCTGGTGCCTGTGCAACGTCCTGGGATGAGGGGTGCGGGTCCCCGGGCCAGCCTGCCCCTCACCTTCCAGGCCTGGCACGTCCATCAGACACCGGCCGCTGGGGTTCCGGCAGGTCCTCAGGCAGGGCGCCCCGCAGGGCTGGTAGTGCCACTCGCACTCCCCTTGAGGGTTGTAGTAGTCGCAGAACAGGGCTGAGGGTAGACGACAGAGGCTAAGGCCGCCGCCGGACCCCTGGTCCCCTGGACGTGCTGGGGCGGGGCCGCTCGTCCCAGGGCGGAGGGATCTGAGGGGCCCGCCCCTCGCGCTCCAGGCTCGTTTCTCAGCCCTGGATTAGAACACCCGTCCTTCGCCGAGTCCCCTCATTTGGGGGCCCCCCGTGCGTCTGGTTTTCACGGACAGGTCCACGCACACGCGTGTGTCGCGTGCGCGTTGCGTGTCTGCTGTGCACACGTGTGCGGGTCGGGCCCAGGGCTCGCCGCGGCTCCGCCGGCTCCCGCCGCCCCCCTCGCCCTTCAGCACCACGGACAGAGCCCGACTCACGGCAGACGTCCGGGGTGCGCCAGGACACGCACACGCCCACGTCGCGGCAGGCCTGGGCGTAGGCGGCCACGGCCGTGCAGAAGCACTCGCAGTCGCCGCCGGAGTCGCAGGCGCACGCGTCGCTCACGCAGGCCTCGTAGTACTTGGCGGGGTCGACCTAGTGGGGGAGGGCCAAGGGGTCCCTCATCAAGAAGAGCCGACGTCCAGCCTGCCTCGGGGACAGCAGCTCGCCTGCCATCCCAGACCCACGGGCTGCGGCCGGAAGGCTGCCACCCACCTGGTACCTTCGCCCATGCTTCTGGCTCCTTCTCTGACCTCACTCCTGCCCCTCGTCCCTTGCCTCTACTCGGCATCTCGACGAACTGCACACCAGCCCTCTCTGTGACCGTGGGGGGCCCTGTCCTGACACGTGGGGGGCCCTGTCCCCTTGGGGTGAGGGGGACGGCTCCTCCCACCGGCAGCAGAGCACAGTGGACCCGTCTCGCGGGCAGCACCAGCCGAGGTAGGGGTGCAGGTCGGGCTCACAGGACACTCTGAGCCAGTGGGCAGGGCCCTGAGGGGTTGCGTCAGGAGGCAGGCTGCACAGCGCTGACCTTTCCTGCCCAGCCACCCTCCTCATCCCTGCGGGTCCTGAATCCGGAGACTGTGTGGTGAGTGGGCCCCAGAGTCCTTGTCAACAGGAAGGACCGCTGGGGAGTTTCTGAGGCTGGTCCCTGGTCCTCTGCCCTGGGGCCGCACTGGTAGGCAGGCAGGTCAGGGGATGGGGCGGAGGATGAGGGGCAGGGGCTGACACCAGGGCCTGGATGGCTCACGGCCCTGCTTCCGGGGGAGGGGACTGAGTGGTCAAAGGGAACGGCAGAGTGGCTCTGTGCCGGGACAAGGGGGAGGCCCAGACGGTGCGCCCTGCACATAGCTCAGGGTGAAGACCGCTCTCCAAGGCCCCACCCTGGCCAGACCGGCTCCACAGTGGGGCAAGGGGCCAGCCCCACCACTTCCAGCCCCCAGCCCCTGCCCCGCAGCGCAGAGCCCCCGCTCCTCGGCCCACCTGAGAACGGCAGGCGGCAAAGGTGGGGCTGTTGATGATGCTGCACTGCTTCTGGGCCCAGGACTTGCGGTAGGGGTTGGCGGCGCAGGGGTCCCTGGGGGCCGGGGCGTCCGGGCAGGACGGGGAGAACTTCCAGCTGTTGCCAAACTCCAGCGCGTCGCCCACCACGGACTGGCTCCGCGTGGTGAAGTCGTTGGCGGCGTTGTCGTCGAAGTTCCCGCAGAGCCCGCAGACCTTGCCCTGGGGCGCGGAGACAGACGGGCGCATGGGGCTGGCGCTGCGGGGGGCAGCCTGGCCTGGGAAGGGTGACCGCGGGCCCCCAGTTCCCCCAGGCAGCACCCAGTGAACTTGCAGGCAGCCCAGGTGCACAGTGGGTCCTGCAGTGGGTCCACAGGTGGGTAGGAAGGCAGGTGGGCAGGCACCACTTCCCGTGGCACCTCGGCCCAGGGGTGCGGACACTGAGCAGAGACCAAGGAGCAGAGCGGCCTCTAGCAGGGCCGGACACACCGTTCCTGGCTTTGGTGCCAGCGTACCCCTTACGGCGCCCACACGGGGCATGGCCTCACCCCAGCCATCAGAGGTC